CTTAAAAAAAAAAAAAAAGAAATAATAGCTGAAAACTTCCCTAATCTGGGGACGGAAACAGATACCCAGATCAAGGAGGCACAGAGAACTCCCATCAAAATCAGCAAAAGAAGGCCAACACCAAGACGTTTGCCACTAAATTTGCAAAATATAGCAACAAAGAAACAATCTTAAAAGCAGCAAGACAAAAGAAGTCCTTAACTTACAAGGGTAAACCCATAAGGCTAGCTGGAGATTTCTCAACAGAAAAATGACAAGCCAGTAGAGAGTGGCATGATATATTCAGCATGCTGAATGGGAAAAATCTGCAGCCAAGAATATTCTGTCCAGCAAGGCTATCATTCAGAATAGAAGGAGAGATAAAGAGTTTCCCAAACAAAAACTAAAGAAGTTCATGACCCTAAACCAGCCCTGCAAGAAATATTAAAGGGGCCTCTTTGATGCAAAGAAGAGACCAAAAATGACAAAGACGAGAAAGGATCAGAGAAAATCTCCAGAAGCAGTGAAAAAACAAATAATAAAATGGCAATAAATACATATCAATAATTACTTTGAATAAATGGGCTAAACCCTCTGATCAAAACACATAGGGTGTCAGAATGGATCAAAAAAACCCCACAAAAAAAACCAACCCATTATATGCTGCCTTCAAGAGACTCATTTTAGACCTAAAGACACCTGCAGATTGAAAATGAGGGGATGGAGAAACATTTATCATGCAAATGGATGTCAAAAGAAAGCCAGAGTAGCAATATTTATCAGACAAGCTAGACTTTAAAACAAACACTGTAGCAAGAGACAAAGAAGGATACTATATAATCATAAAGGGGACAATCCAATAAGAAGATATAACAATTGTAAATATTTATGCATCCAACATGGGAGCACCCAAATATATAAAACAATTAATAATGAATATAAAGGAATTGATAATCATACAAGAATAGTAGGGGACTTTAACACCCCACTTATATCAATGGAAAGATTACCTAAACAGAAAATAAACAAGGAAACAATGCCTTTGAATGACACACTGGACCTGATGGACTTAGCAGATATATTCAGAACATTCCATCCTAAAATAGCAGAATACACATTATTATCAAGTGCGCATGAAGCCTTCTCCAGAACAGATCACATATTAGGTCATAAAACAGGCCTCAACAAATACAAAAAGATTGAAAGCATACCACTTTTTCTGCCCACAATGCTATGAAGCTGGAAGTCAATCATAAGAAAAAATTCTGAAAGACCACAAGTACATGGAGGTTAAACAACATCCTACTAAACAATGAATGGGTCAACCAGGAGAAGAAATTAAAAAAAAAAAAAATACATGGAAACAAATGAAAAGGAAAAAACAACAGTCCAAACTTTTAGGACGCAGCAAAAGTGGTCCTAAGAGAGCAGTATATAGCAATACATGCCTACTTCAAGAAGCAAGAAAAATTTCAAATAAACAACCTAACCTTACGCTTAAAGGAGCTAGAAAAAGAATGGATGACCCTCAAATCAACAAATGTCCCTGCTGTGAAGGAGCTTATAGCGCAGTAGGAGTGGGACTTCCCAAAAGGTGACCAGAATGATAAAAGTCCTAGAGTCAAGGCAGAAGAAGACCTGGAGGTTTTAGTTCAATGAAAGAGACTGAGAGGTTGTGGCACCAATTCTCCAAATAGTCAAAAGGCTGTTAGAAGAGGAGAGCAGTTCAACATCTATGCCGCTCTGGGAGGCCAATTCAGATCCATTGTTGGATACTGAGTGAAGGCCTATCTTCACTAAAGAGAGGAAGAAATTCTTAATACAGGTAAAGCATAAAATTCTTTTCAAAGAAAGCACCCTTTCGGGAAGGGTGGCTACCAGAATGTCATAGAGGAGATTACCTGGACTGAACAGGAAGTTGGATCAAAGTCCCTATGAAAAGGAAAATAAAGGCAGAGCTAAGCCGAAGTAGGAAAACCAAAAGAATGAGGGGCATTTCCTATTGTCTATGTGTTTATTTAGTAATTTTTTTTTAATGACAAGGACTTTTAAAAACTTTTGTCTTGTTTTTAGACCTAGAGTTTAAACTTCTACTAAATTGGGGTGCCTGGGTGGCTCAGTCGTTAAGCGTCTGCCTTCAGCTCAGGTCATGATCCCAGGGTCCTGGGATCGAGCCCCGCATCGGGCTCCATGCTCAGCGGAGAGCTTGCCTCTCCCTCTCCCACTCCCCCTGCTTGTGTTCCTGCTCTCACTATCTCTGTCTGTCAAATAAATAAATAAAATCTTTAAAAAAAAAATAAACTTCTACTAAATGGCTGAAGGAAACCACTTTCTCTAAAGCCATGCTTATACTTTCTCTGAGGATAATTTGTATCTCTGTGGGGGCGGGGGGCGGGGTGTAGAAGGAACATTGTTTTGTTTTTGCTTCTGATCTTCAACCTGAAAACACATTTATTTCTCAAAAATTATTTATAAAGTATGTGTCAGGGGCAGGACTATGAGCTAAAATGAAGAACTCAAAATCAAGGCAAGACCTAACTTTCTTGTGTGCAAGCAGTAGCAAAGGGACAAAACCTGGTAATTGCTAAGTAAGTAAAAATGCACCCAAATACTGAAGACAGGCAAAAAAAAAAAAAAGTAGATATAAAACAACCGGTTGAGATAGATGAGATCCTTTTCAGCTTCAATGCTCTTTTGAGTCTATGCCAGAAGGGATATTTGAGCATCAAAGTACTGCTGTTCATGGTCTCCTAGCATGACCTGCACTCCACATGGCATGGAAAGATAAGTGGCAGATTTTCCTCTTTTATATCTTGTGTTCTCTTGTGAAAGACTGTAACGTGTGATTGTCCCATTAATATCTACCTCTCCCACTAGGCTGTTATCTCCCCGAGGGCAGAGACTGGGTTTACTTTTACTCATTTCATCTCACCAATGCCTGGCATGGTACCTAGTATGAAACAGGTGTTCAATAGATACTTTTTCATGGAAGAATAAAAATAAGGGGCTTTAAGAAAATAAAACCAGTCATGAAAAATGGCTTTTTCCATATGAAGTAAATAGAGTTGTCAAATTCATAAAGACAGAAAGTAGGAGGGGCTGGTGAGAGGGGAGAATGGGGCATTTAGTGTTTAATGGGTACAGAGTTTCAGTCTGGAAAGATGGAAAAGTTCTGGAGATGGATAATGGATGGTTGCACCAATGTGAGTGTACTTAATGTCTTTGAACTGTACACTTAAAAATGGTTAAAATGGTAAATTTCGTGTTGTATATATTTTACCACCTATAATGATAATAATAAAGAATGGCTTTCCTAAGAAAAAAAGAGAGGTTATTCTTAGAGGGTCCAAGGGATCGCCTAACAAGGGAGCCTCTGAGATTTAGGAATTATGTGTCCCCATGGAGTGTAGACAAATAAAACAAAGCAGAATTTGCGGGTAGGAGGAGATTCCTCAGATCATGATTTGGAAGACATTGATCCATTTCAACCCGCTCATTAGAGATGAAAACTAGGGCTTTTTCGCCTCTGTTTCGCAAGGTCTATCACATTTCATTCAGAGCCTGGAGGTCAGTTTACCAGTTCCTTAGGCATGGCATGGGACTGGGCCCAGGTTTAATAGACCGATGGTTTCAAGTTCTGTACTGCTCGTGCTGGTGCCCCAACCTTCACTCACTGTAGTTTTTCTCAGATTGTCTGTCTGAAGGAGTTTGAGACCTGGAAAAAGCAAACGCAGTGACTAACCCAAAGCTTTGGCTTTTCTGTTCTGAAGGCACAGGTAGCAGGTGTTTGGGCCATCAGTGGAACAGGAGAGGGTCAGCGTCCCCCGCACCTGAAGCAGCCGCCCTGTGACAGAGAGGGTGCTGTCCAAGGCCGGCTCCTGCCTGCAGACATACTTTCAGGAGAAGAATATGAATGTGTCTCACCTGATGACATCTCCTTGCCTCCACTCTCGGGAAGCCCCGATTCCCCCCTTGCCCTGGCTGCCATGGACGTGGAGCAGCATGCCAGCCCTGCCCTCAGCCTTCACACGAGCAGCTACAGGATGCAGACTGGGGCCAGCAGTGCAGGGGATGCCCAAGAATCGGGCATTCCACCACCTGCTGCTTTGGCTGATGCTTACAGTGATAACAGAGAAACATTTTCAAGTCATTTTGAGAGGCCGTACCCCCAGTCCAAAGCTGAGCTCCCATTAACCTCCGGAGCATTTCTGGAAAAAAGTACTGCCTTCTGCAAAATCAGTGCTAAACATCCAGAGAGCATGCCGAGTGAAGTGCATGAGAGAGCTTCACAGCAGCACCCTCAGGCTCAGGGAAGTTTGCTAGAAACACGGGAAAAAGTGCATGTTGATAATAACATCACTAAAACCCGAGACAGGCTGCATGCTTCCCAGGATGCATTCTCAGGCCTTGGGCTTCGATCAGGCCCCAGCCGGGCCTATCAGAGGCAAACAGTCCCCCAAGAGGAGATTAAATGTACATCAGCAAAGAACACGGTGGTCAGCCTCACTGGCCAGGCTCCTAATTTCTCCAGGCTCCTGTCTAATGTAACTGTCATGGAAGGTTCTCCAGTAACTTTGGAAGTTGAAGTAACAGGATTTCCAGAGCCTACACTGACATGGTGGGTAGCTTATAATGACAAGTCATAAACACATTGAATGACTGAGCAAATCATTCTGTGTGCACTAACTTAAAGGTGTAGGGATAGCTGATTAATATTCTGCAACACTGCAACTCTGCATGATTCAACCTTACACCAACCCCCAACTCTCCCTGTAGGCACAGCATGTCTAATACCCAGAAGAACCAAAAGGAACCACATAAAATAATAACTTAACCAACTCCAAAAGCACTGCAACTTAGCTGTGCTCTTTTGTGGAGTTTTTTGTTTTGTTTTATTTTTGCCATTAGTTTAACATTCCACATTTCTGAAGATTGTGGGTTGAAATTGTTTCCTATTGCTTATTTCCACATAAGCATGACATTTCTTAGCTTAATATCCCATATTCGATTAATAAACATAAGAATTTAGGTTTTCCCCTTTTCTTTCATTTAGCCATTTCATCTTTTCCCTCTTCCCAACTGAGTCACACATCACTTTTGTAATATTTGTTTGTTTCACTAAGATTTCTTTCTATAAATTTCTTCAGTGTGAAAGATGGAATAAAAATATTTCTTTCACAGTTGCTCCCAGTGACAGGTAATAAACCCATTTTTGAAAGGTGGTGTAATAACTGAGCTGTGAACAATAGGATTTCCTTCTGGAGATATCATTATTTTTTAGCATATTTGTTTTAATAGAAAGTAAACTGCAGAATACAGGTTTTGAATCACTGTTGTTTTAAAAGTAGTTCTCACTTTTTCACTACGTGGGTGACTTCTAAACATTTAGAAACTTTTCATCTGTAAGTATATTTATCTGAGGACAAAGTTACAAATTTGTGAGACTGAATTCATACTCATAAACTAAGATAAGTAAAACAGCATTTACTTATCATAGTATTTCAGTAGACGTTACATTAACAGTTTCAACTATTATGCGTGCCCACTGATGATACTTGAAGTGTGAGTCGGTTATCTAAAGAATCTATGAGAAAACTCTGGTCTCTCAGATGATGAAAAGAGACTACACTTGTGATACAGTGCAGCCATTCATGCTTTTGTCTTATTGTTTTTAAAATTGCATGTTTTTTTAATAGATCAGGAATTTCATATTTATGAATTTAAAAAAATATTTAATTCATTATTAAATATCAGTTCATCCCAAAGAAAAATGTTGTCTGCAGTGTTTCTTGGTTTTGTCCACACAACAAATAACTTGGTTAGCATTTATTGTTGAAGAATTATCATAATATTGTGAAAAAATACCTTGCTTTTGGATTTACAATGGTTTTGCTCAATTAGCAGCCAGCAAGCTCTTGGAAATAAACATTTTTAGGACACTCATAAAAATGCAAAATTACCACATAGGCAATGGGAACAGAAAATGATTCAGGTTTGTCACCGCTTCTTAGGTGAAGGAACATGGGTATAAATAAACAAGAATCTAGAATATACAAAATAAATTGCTTTCTAAAAAGAGGCAGCTAAGCACTCGTGTTCATAGGAAACTTTTAGAAACATGTCATTAACAGTAATAATCCAATTATATAAATGCCTTTTATAATTATAAATCATTTTCTTCTAATGAAATTAATTCATAAAAATGAACTCATTTCGCCAGGAAATGTTGTATAAGTACCTTCCTCTAAAACAGCATGTTTTTATTCTCACATGGATCTTGTGGGGTGAATATGATGGAGTGGATGAGTCTCACTCCAATATAGATTCTCAGAACTCACAGGCTGCTATTCCATAGCAGCTGAAAGAATGACACAAGCCAAATAGAGGGGTGCCATTTCACACTCTCGGTAATTGTTGCCATAAGCAAATGGTGGCCCTCTGTGACCAGGTGGTTTGGGTTTTTCTTGTGTTTTGTTGTTGTTGTTGTTTGTTTGTTTTAGAGAAAGAGAGAGAGAGGTAGGGGGTGGGGAGGGACAGAGGGAGAGGGAGAAAGAGAATCTTAAGCAGGCTCCAAGCCCAGTGCGGAGCCCCACGTGGGGCTCAATCTCACGACCCTGAGACCGTGACTTGAGCCGAAATCAAGAGTCAGATACTCAACTGACTGACACAGCCAGGCACCCTGTTTGGGTTTTTTTTTTTTTTTAAAGAATAGTTGGATATCTGAATTTTCACATGCAATATTCCAACTGTTAAATGTTGTCCAAAAATTCAATTTTTTGAAAAATATGGTCTGACCTGATCAAGCACTTCTCAGGCCACAAGTCTCCAACCTCTATTTCAAGGATGGATGAAAGCCCCATTGGAATCTGTGGTAGCTGCAAAGTTCCTGCTAATACTAGAGAGAGAGAGTACTGCAATGGTAATGGGCTTGTTTGCAATGGTTTTTAGAGCTTAGAAATGATGTGAATATACAGTGATCCTGACTTTAAAACTGACTCTCTGCTTCAGGTACAAGAAGGGCCAGAAATTGTCTGCAGATGGGCACTTAGAGGTTTTACACAAGGAGACAAGACATTCAGTGTTCATTCCGAAGGTATGTGAGGCAGACGCAGGCCTCTATGTGGCTCGGGCCCAAAACTCTAGTGGCATTCTCTCTTCCAATGTCATCCTCCACGTGACAGGTAACCACAGGCCGCCAATCACAAGAATAAACTGGGTAATGTTGTGTGTCATCTACATTAGTGTGTCCCTAATGTACTGGGTACTCACACAGTAACTGTGGGGTTGGTGCTCTTGGACGTCATTCTCACGGGTCTAAAGAACAACCCCATGGTTGTTTCTTTTCCTGCATCTCTTACATTTGCCTGCCTCTCTCCACCAAGTGTACCCACATTCTAGTCAGGTTGTTTGTTTGGCTAATACCAAACTCAGCGAAATAATCACATTTTCTCTAGTGTTTTAGTATATTTGAGGAGCTTGGTAAATTCTTAGCAGTGGATAAGCATACATTTTTGTATTGTAGAAAGAGATATATTCAATATAAAGCCCAGTAAAATTACACAATGTTTATTCCATCCTCACTTAAGAGCATGTATATCAAGGCTCACATCAGCAGAGAGGTGTGAGTTAAATTTCAAATCCAGTTGTTTGGTAATTTATTTTTAATTGTACTCATAAACATCTCCGTAGACTAACAGGAGAAATACTGAAGTGAAGCTATAATTTACCTTATCACATCAGCTGTCCTTTCGTTGCATTTCATGTCTTGATCTCATTTATTGAAATACATTTTATGTAGTTTCAACCTAGACTACCTTCCTAAGTCTGAGGCGGCCACTGTATATAGTCATTCCTTGTTGATCTCACGGGTTTCACCACGGTGAATAGATGTGCTGTCAACTTCAGATGGAGGTTCAAACTTCCATCAGCTGCACCTGTCATAGAGCAAAATGGAGCACAGGCTGCAGATGGACCAACATAATTCCTGTCATGTCACGGTCACATTTTGGGCAGCCACATACATACGATGGCAACCTGTTCCTCCTGCATCTTCTCTTGATTCTGCTGCTGACCATTTTTTGCAGCCTGTGGTAAAGACATCTCAATGCCTTAGTTTCCCATTTGGAAAATGGGTTCATCGTCTACTTCTCGGGCGATTGAGAGTTTTCTTTTCGTGTCTTGTAAAGATTTAGAAAATGGAAAGCGTTCTATGAAGGCTGAAGGTAATTATATTGTTTGATGTGACTTATTGTCACACTGCCTCCTGCCCACTATTCTCATTCAGATGATGTTTCTTTAGAATATTAAAGAAGTGGTATTAGTCTGTGATTTCCAACCTTTCCCACGTGGGAAGGTGATGTATATATGAATTGGAACTGAAATTCCTTTCTGATTTCTTAAGATTACATCTTTTTCAAAGACTTGAAATTAAACTTAGGAAGATGCATTTAGTATGATCTAGGGGAAAAAGTATGTAATAAGACAAGATAAAGTGAATTCTGTCCTTTTCTTCTAATTATCACTGTAATATTGAAGAATTTTCTATGCATTTCTGAAATATATTATTCAGAAAAGAGGACTTTTTTGGTTCCCTCTAAAAGTAAACATGAATGAGAGAAGCATTTGTTTTTAAATTTTAAACATAGTCTTGTCATGGTAGAGCAAAATCTTTAGTTGAAAGAATAATTTATAATAGATTTCTGATGAAGGGAAGGAATTAATTATATTGCTGTAAGACTATCTACAATAATAAAAATACTTAAAAGTAATATATTCAAATAATGTATAGAATTTGGGTAAACTGTAGTCTTTTAGGGTTCTGAAAACACTCTATTACATTTTGTTGAATTAATGAGTCTGGGAATACCAGAAAAAAAAGTAATATATTCAAGTTAGTATTAAAAAGCTACTGAATGTTATTTGAAGATATGAAATGTGTGGTTGAGTAAAGTTGACATATTTTTTTCTGTGCATCAATTTACTTAAACAATTAAATCTCTTAATTTTCTTCCAAATTTTGACAGAAACCGATTAAAAGCTTATATATACAACGTCCTAGGGAACTCATAGTCTCTTAAGTCTCCTATCCATTTTGTCCACTTTCACATATTTTACATATCTTGCCTAACTGCTATTCCCATGTTGAAGCTAAATAGTAAAATCTAGTCATGTCCAAAGAGGGCAGGCAGGACCAGGTAAGAAATTCTTGTCTGACCCTCTGTCTCTTTCTTGTTAATTTAGTAAGATCTTCTTTCCCATTTTGTCATCTTGGTTGAATTTGTGGCTAGAGGTTGTTAGGGCATGGGACTTGCTTGTTTGCTTTACATGTTGCATGCCAGTTAAAGGCTAATGGGGAGCATTAGTGGGCAGCAGGGTGGGATATATATATATCCATCCATCCATGGTGTGTGACTAAATAAGGTATAAACCCCAGATGTATTTGATACATATATCAAATATAATATGTATTTGACATATATTAAATATATGTATATACACATATATGCACACACACATAGAGCTCAAATATTGAGAAAAAGGATTATGCTGATATTCTAGATATAGTTCAGCTAGCTATCTGTGTATCAATCTGTCTGTCCAACCATTCATCCATCTATCCATCCATCCATCCATCCATCCATCCATCTGGTCATCTATCCATCCATACATCTATTTACATACCTATCTACCTACATATTCTTTTGTGCTATCAATTGACTATCTAGTAATTCCCATAGCAGTGAAGAATAATTAGCTATTCAGTTATTCTTCCAGTTATATTTTAATTTCAAAGACTTAAGTGTGATTTTCCTTTTTCTAGATTTCTGTCTTGATCAAAAAAGTCTCCTTATGAAAGTATGAACTAAAATTATTGATTAAAAATGAAAAACCTAAGCAAATGATGTTTCTTTTTAAAGATATATATATATATATAGTATATATATATACTATATATATAATGGGTATATAATAGTATATATATATATATATACTATTTATACCCATTTTCTTCTAGAGAAAATTCCGGACAGTTAGTAATATCAAAACACTTCTCAACAAGAAAATGTAAATGACAAGGAAGATTAAAAAGAACATGTACTTGACACCTTGAAGGAACGCAACACAAAATGTGTTTTGAGCTTCCTAAAAGGCAAAATTATTGAGCTTTCCAGTTCTGATTTTCTAATAATAAGTGTATAAACATTTGGTGGTAAAAGTTTTTTCACACTCAATTCCAAGAGAAATTTACTGCAGAAATCCTTACATTCGAATCTTTGTGTATGCTAAAATATCTAAAATCTTTGGAAAAAGAAGTCATAGACAATTAGTTATTTTATTCCATAATGCTAACCCTCATTTATAATCAAGATGCAGGCTTAAAATAGATTATTGCAAGAACCTTCTAACCACCTCACTCAAGTTTAAATTTATTCAAGTGGTACACAAGGCCCTTTAGTACCTGCCCTCCCCTTCCTAATCTCTGTTCCATCCCTTCTGATCCCCCCACAAAATGACATTTTACTTCAGGTTTTTAACCTATTGTGCTCTTTCTTCCCTCTAGTCCTTTCTTCCCAGATTTCCCTTACTATGTCCAAACCTATCTTTACGTGGCTTAACTCCTGCATATCCTTCTTGGTCCATTTGAGACACAACTTGCCCCAGGAAGCCTCCTGACCCATCAAGCCCAGTGTAGATATTCTTGCTATGGGCACTGTCAGCACCTGACCTGTCCATGTCATATCCCTTGATACATAGCATTGAAGTTGCATGT